GTGCACATCTTAGCTCTGTACTTTTTTGAAGCACCCTTCACGAGTTCACATCTGCCATCATAGCAAAGCCACTCCAATTAAGCTGAAATGAAGTTCAAATGTAGTACCAGCTCGATTATATTATTTAAGTAAAGGTGTAATGTTTGGTGAGGTTGTGGAACATTTTGAAATGTTCAACATGTTCTTCATGAAGCAAAAATCTTCCTGTGTTCTCCATAAGTAACAGTGTCCTTAGAATAAGTTTCGTTCAAAGGAAACTTGAATGGGTTGTGACAAAACCACCTGGGCCAGAATTTCAAATACTTTATTTGACCCAAATCAATACAGCACCAGAGAAAGAACATCACATCCACAGTGAAAGAGGGTGGTGGAGCTCCATGCTCTGTCATTACTTGTCCAGTGATGAAACGCAGGTTTTTGTCAAAGTGGATGAAATTATAAATAGTTTGATGTTTTTCACCCAAACTTTGCAAGTTTCTGCTAGAAATCTGAAAATGAAGGCTTTTATTTCATTTCTGCTACATAATGTAGCAGATGTTAACTCTTGACAAATTTTTGTGAAGAGTCAGTGCAGCAACGCAGAGGTTAAAAGGTTAAGAAAGTCACGAGTAATATGGATTATAAATTAGTCATTTAAAATTCTGCAGCTTACTCTGGTTGTGTCTCCACAAAAGGCTGACAGTACGTTCTGATCGGATCCGGAGCCCAACACGGGATCAATTTATCACATAATGTGTTAAAAATTTTCATCATTAAATGCTGACATTTTCCAAGTTTCTTTTTTAAACCATTGTTGAGTTTTTTTTGTTTTATTTTCCAGTTGGTTAGGTCCAACTTCCACAAGCTGTAGTTGAACAATATTTTTGGTTCAGTGGGAAAATGTTGCAAAATGAACATCAAAGTAATTGTTTGTGGTGACAGATCTGAGAATTTTCATTTAATTCAGTATTTGCAGCTTTTTCTGTGGTATGTAATTCACACAAAATGTAGCTATCCACAGATGCAATGCTACTTCACACATCATCAGCTGGAATGTATAAACCAGCCAATCCAGGAGCACCGTTTGTTTTCCTTGGCAGCGATTGGCTGTACCCACTCAAGCCTGAAGATCCAGAACACCTCGGATGTTAGCTCCTATGCTACTGTGAAATCGCGCTCCACCGAGTGTATTAAGCTGTATTTGGAGTTCAAACTATTAAAATAAGCAGTTATATGTGTGTGTATAAAGGAAGTCTCAGATTATCAGGGATTTCAGCCCAAGGTTCACTGTACACATCTGAAAAACTGCAACTTGTACCAATTTAAAACATGAATGCGTACACTCAGCATTTGTTTCATTCAATTTTTCATTGATTTGAAAAACAGAAGTTATAACATTGCATATTTTCTTTCCTATTATAGAACCAAGAGACTCTCAATCAAAGTCACATGAAGGCTTGAATAACATTATCAGATAAATACAGTATTAAACACAAATAAGACAAAGACGTTGAAAAAAATTAAACTTAGATATTGTTATAAATTGTACGATTCAAACTTTCAGTTCCAATAAACGTTTCCAAAAAACATAAAAAAAAAAAAATAAAAATAGCAAAAATATTGCAACAGCTTTAACTTTTCACCCAGACAGGAAGTGTTTCATTGCGAGGTAGATCAGTGTGACTCACTTATTTCTGCAGGATCAGTGACTCATACACAGACACACGAGAAACTGTGCCAGGACAAGCAAGTCTCAGGTGTTAAAACTTTCTGAACGACCAAAACTCCAAAGATTGGCCATCTGGCTGCACGCAGTATGGCGTGCCCTTTCAGAGGAAGATATCAGCTCCATCGATCCACATAAATAGATTCAGGTTCCTTTAAAGTGCGGAGCGGATTTAGACTGGCTGGAAAAGGCTTTGATCAGAACAACTTATGATACGACTCACAAGCTTTCTGAGGTACGACAAGCTCAAAATAGGAAACATTGCAATTAAGATGAAAATTACTTTTCCATGCTTTCTTTTTTTTTTTTTTTGGATTTGAAATGCTCTTTCAACAAAACAAGTTTGATTCTTATCAAAAATGAGACAGGAATTTTGAAGATAATAAAATATGTAAACCTTCATAAAAGTACCAATTTAGAACTTTTTTTTTTTTTTTTTTACAGAATTACAGAAATCCTATAAAAACTTATTACTGAACAGATTTTTTTTTTTTTTTTTACATATTTCCACTGGAGTTTTTATGATTTATATAAGTGATGAGCTCAAAGTTTTTAAGGTTAAAAGTGCCATCACCCTAATCTTTGGGTTACTCCACAGATTCTCAGTCAGAATCACGTCTTAATTTCTTTCAGTCACAAATAAAACATTGTGAAAGTTAAAATATTACTTTAAATCTAAATCTACCAGTGGCATAAATTATTTTGGTCTTAGTTATTCCTTAAAAATATCCCTATGTAAGTGTCTTTCTTTAGTTAAGATGAGGATGAAAACAAGATGTAACAAAGGAAAGACACTGTAACCACTATGTAACTAAAGCTTGAAAAATAAGTGGCTGGAAAAGCAGAAAAGATCAATTCTTTTTTAAAATAGTAAAAAAAAAAAAAAAAAAAAAAAAAAATCTGTTGAAAGCCACTGCCATTTCACAGAAAGTTGCCTAATCAGACAACATGTTTATTTAGCCATTAAATTAAGGGGATAAGCGCATTTTTCCTTCTCACTTCACAATTGGAGATGAAGTTGTTGTTTCGGTTCTCTTACTAGCTCATATTTTCCCAAATTCCTTGTTGCCCTCTGTCAAACAGTCAAGGCCACAGCTGAGTGTTGCCTCTGCCCTGGACCTGAGGAACAGCTGCAACGTAAACATGCTAAATTAACTGGGTCTCCATGAGCCTCACATACACATTATTCTAATCAAAGCATATTAGATCATCCAGATACTTTAGTCATATGGGTCTCGGTATCTTCCTCGCCGCTGCCATCTGTTTCTCCCCACTTCTCCTCGCTCTCCATCTCAGTGGATCCCTCTCTCACACAGCTGCCTCTCTGAGAGGCTGGCAACGATTTCTAACTGAGCAGCTACTTTGTGACATGTTCCCACTTTCAGTCAAACTTAAAGCGCCATATGCATGGCTGACTGCATGATGTGTTTCTGAGCTGCACATTGGACACAGTTCAAAACTACTTTGCACAAAACAAAAACAACAGGCTAACATATGAGGCGTGTGTGCTGAATCATAATGAGATCTGTTGAGGTACAGGGAAAATATGATTATGATTGCAACATTTTTCTCATCTTCATGAAAACACTGTTTGAAGTTGTTATAGTAACATGTGTCGCTCATCATCACTCGAGATAAATAAATAGTAGAGCAGGAGTGATTTATGCAAAAAGCAAACTGAGAACAGGGCATGTTCAACAAATCACAACCTTTGGTATTTCTGAGTAATGGAAAGATGCACATTTGGACGTAGAAGCATCTTTTATTCACAACTTGACATAATCCCTTGACGTGAGTGAGTTCAATGAAACACAGAACTATTTTTATTTTACTTTTACAGAACCTGGTTCCTTAAAGGAGTGACAGAAACCGAGCAGGTGTTTAGGGAGAGATTTGAAGAGGCCATGTGTCCGTTGCTTAAATATTGAGACAAAGAAGTCAGTACAAATACGTGGCTTAAATCAGATCACCATATTTGCATATATTGACTCTGAAGATGATGAAAGCGAACATTAAGCGAGAAAAAATAATTTAAACACAAGTGTCAGTCCAGGCAAATCCTGACAAATATTTATCAAAAGTTTGTGTTCCTATAAGTTTCTAATAAAATTCTGAAATATTTTTTAAATGTTTTTGTGGCAGAAGTGGCTGGTGTTGATGGTAAGACAGGGAATGAGAGAGAAGTCAGGAAGATGGGCAGCAAAGGTCCCAAGATTAAGAATCAAACTACGGACAGCTGCGTCAAGGACTAACAGCTTCTGTAGATAATGGCACCCGCTCTACTTCCACATAGTAATAATAATAATAATAATAATAATAATAATAATAATAATAATAATAACAATAATAATAATGCAGAACAAATTTTAACAGATCAATAAACTTTAAATTCTTTTGAAAATTTAATGCTGGAATTGGAAGACATTTTAAATGTCCATAATAAATAAACAAAACAATTGAAAGAATAAATAAAACGAATTCTGAACAACCAGACTGAAGACTTTTGTCATCCAGATTTTTTTAGAGAGAAAGAAAAGAGAAAAAAACAAATTATGCAAATTGAAACAATTGAGTTCATTTTAATTTATCCCGCGGTGAATTGATTTATTGCTACAGAGTTTGACCATTTTAAAGGGTCATCCATCCTTTCAACCCAGTTCTTAGACATAAAGGTTCATAATAATGATTTGTTGTACATTGAACAGTACTCAGGCTTTAAATATGCCACCCACAAAGAGCACAGAAACACAGACAGAAGTGAAAAAATACTGATATATATATATATATTTTTTTTTTTTTTTTATTTTTTCAAAATCGTATGCTGTGCACATTGCGACTTTAAAAATCCACGGTCTTCTGACATTTACCACATCACAGCCACAGACAGCCCCCTTAAAACGGGCTCAAAAACCAGATCAGGAGGCATCAACTCAGCAGTGGTCCTGCTGCAAGGCTTCTGACAGCACAAGCAAAGCTGTCTCTGCTCTTACTCCTCCGTCCAACTGTGCAGAAATGTGCACACGGCACCCAGAAAACAGCATGTTCTTCCTTTTAACACCTCAAAGTGGGTCTCACAGTTTTGCTGGCACGTTTCATCATTTCAAATCAATATCAAACCAAGTTATAGAACAGGAAAAAAAAAATGTATGATTCTGAGCATTGGCTAATATTGAGCTTTTTTTTGGGAGGTGGGGGGATCATAGCAAATTATGTTTATTTCTGCATCGAGGTGTTGCTCTGTTGGGTCGATTGCAGGTGACAATGAAGCCAGGGAAACAAAATCCCAGGGACTTACCAGAATTGGTGATGGTTAGCAGGTCCAGACGTCTTTGTTGCTGGAAGAAAAAAAGAAAAGGCAAGATAAATGTCACAAAACGGTAAATCAATACCTTCATCAATTCTAATATTTTAGTTTTGCAGAAGTATATTGATTTATCTGGCATGTATGAAATTGATTTGCACCTCTGAATAAAACTAGCAACAGTTTGGCCATCTGCTTAATGGTAAGACTTAATGTGTACAAATTTATTCAGAGTGCAGGTCATTTTAGCAAAATTGTGGTCACTGAAAATGAATTTTAATATGAAAGAGAAGAAAAAAACCTGTTGGAGAAGCTCTCATCTCTAAATACCCTCTTAAGAAAATGGTAGAACCATCAAGATAAGCCTTGGTTTGTAAGGACCCTTTGCCCATTACTGTGTTTGTGTGTTGAGCACCTTGTACGTATGGTGTTGTGTTTCAATAAAGCGTCCAATTTTACACTTGATCTCTCCTGCAGGTAAGGAGTGTGGAGGAAGTGTTAGGTTTTGGCTCCCCTTGTTAATCTGCTGCAAGCCTACATGAACACACACAATAGCAGATCGTAGACAGATACTTGACTGCTGAGCACTGTAAGTAATCAGCACCTCAGAGTTCCTCATCTACCAGTCTCTGATAGCCAAGAAGATCTCCACATCCAAGGAGAGCATGAAGGGTCTGTGCTTATGTATACAGAGTGTGGCAGTGAGTGTGTGACACAGTGCGGGGTGGGTCAAAGTCAGCTGCAACATTTACAACGGTGGACGCCATTAACATTCAAGCCCCATTCTGGCCATTTCGAAGGAGAGAGCAAAGAGATGTTCAGCAGCACACTTGGGGGCTTTTCTCTTTGAAGACAGCTCTGCATTGTAGAGAAAAATCCTCTCATGAAGCTGCTAGACACTTGTTTTAGTTAGCTGTTAGTTAGCCTTTAGCTAACACATAGCGTGACTTTGTTCAGCTGCCATTTCTCATGTACCCTTAAAGAAAATACATTGCAACTACATTCAAAGGTCACCTCATCAGTAAATGGATTCTGTTCATGATTTCATTTGAGTATACATGGAGCCCTGTGAAGGCGGCAGAGGTTTGTTGGAGTACATTACTGAACAAGCAGCAGCATCATGGAGACCAATCAGCAAAGCAGGCAGACAGGGATGAAGCTATGCAGAAGTTTAAAGGAGAGTGATGTTATAAAATATCTCAAGCTTTAGACAGCTCACAAACAACTGTCAGCCAAAAAAAGAAAAGAGCGTGGAACAACTCTCTAATCAACTAAGAGGCCCAGGATAACTCTGGAGGAGCTGCACAGATCTGCAGCTCGACAGGGAGAATCAATTAGTCACAGCAAGTCACACACCCCTCAAATCTGTCCTTGTCGAGTGGCAGGAAAAAGGCTAAACTAAAATTAAGACTAGACTAAAAAACAAACACTACACAGAAGCCTGAACACAGGGACAGACTAAACCGAGCCTCGTTTTCCTTCCTCCTCAAAATGAGCTGTCGACCTGTTACAAAAAACATGGACAGAAAAAAAAAAAAACAATTCTAAATAAATTGTGAAACTAAAAATATGGAGCAAGACTTTATGTCCATATAAATCTGAATAGAAACAGAATTCCAATAACATTCATCCTAAATGGTCTATTAGGTATGTGGGAACAGAAACCGGTGTCAGACTGCAGGTTATTAAAGGGGTAAGGATGCTGAGGTTGGTGACAACGTAGCAGCAGAGGTCACTGTGACAACACGAGACTCAAACAGGGATCATGCACTCTGCTCACACAGATTTATACCCACATATCTTTAACCCACCAACCTTCTACATAAATACGGAGCAGGTGTTGGTACTACACCAAAAAAAAAAAAAAAACCTGTAATTAATAATGTGCTTGTTCATAGCAGAAACATGCTATATTTTCCCAGGAAAACCCTTTTTAAATCTCCCTATGGTGCAAGGCAGATGGCCATTCTCCATACTTCTTCTGTGTTTTTTTTTAAAGAGGTATTTCTTCGTTCTGCTGTGTAAGACCACAGAACTAAAATAATTAAAGATTGACATAAATCTACTGATTAGTTAGGCAAAGGTTGACAAAAAACTGAACATTAAAGTCTGCATGTTTTGAAATGTATGGATTATACATAATCTTGAAGAGTGGGTTTGAAAATTGAGAAATAAGACAATTATTTCCTACAAGTGACTAAGTAGGTAGCGCAGAACGACTAAGATGAAATAGTGGGGTAGGTTGTGTTTGGTGAATGATTACGTCATTGACATTGTGGCACTTTTGTAAATAAAAAGTATGATTTAAGCACAATAAATGAGTTCTTGGATTGTACTGAATCCCTCATCCACATCCAACAGTCGCTTGCTTAAAAAGTAAAGCATGAATTTAATGCTGAATACTGGAAAATGCATCAGTTACATGTATTTTACGGCTTTCAACTAATTGGGAAAACAATAATTTTGGAAAAGAAAAAAAATATTTCCCGACTTGGAATACGAAATGTTTGACAAACTTAATAAAATAACACAGTAAGGTTGAAGGTTTCTAAAATGTTCAGTAGGATATAACACTACTACAATAACAAAATTTAAAAAAAAAAGCCTTACACTGTTGTTGCTTTGTGTAATATAAATAGAGGGACAAGCCCCAAATAATTTAATAACCTAAGTACTCCTCTCTTTAAACATTTGCCATGTTAATTTTAAATAATATAGTCATCAGTTATCATTCATTTACATAGAGCCTCTATTAAAGTGAAATAGCAAACTCATCTTTATGAGTTTTGTAACGTCACATAGATAAACTTTCCTCCAACACAAACTGAATCAAAAACTGTTTTAAAAATGTAAATTAAGGCAAAGTTCAGTTTTTGTTTCAGCTAAGCAAAAAGCTTTGACGTAGACTAACGCAGGGAGAAAATGGCAAATTAGAGGGGAAAGCTGATGTGACCTGTTGAAACCTTATTAAATTAGTTTGATTAGACAATCACACAGACTTTCCCGTACATTCCTCTGGAGGATTTCAGCAACGAAATGTGGCACACCAACTTCTAATTTTTATCAGCACAAGTATAGCGTAATAGATGGTAAACACACTTGCACATAATAAAACTGAAACATCCTCCAAGACACTGCCTTACTTTTTAACACTTCTTTTCTCAAAGACATGAAAACACACCCAGACACTTGAACAGTCGCACTGCGCTTAAACCAGCAAATGAGAAGTGTGAGCGGAGTTCATTCTGGGACCGCCTAAACGCAGATAATGAATCTGTGATAGAGAATTACAACACATTACCACCACTTTCTCTTCCTGCTGCTTTTGTTAGTACCAAAATGGATAAGGTGCTTAGTGTTCCTATGGAGGAAGACACTCGCTCACACAGAGAGAGGAAAGAAGGAAGAATCTGAGTCAGACAGAATAATATTAGGGAAAAAAGCATTTCAGGGCAGAAAATAGGATTGAATTAATCTTTATCGAACATAGCTGAGAGCTGAGGAATCCCATACTGGGTGAAGACAGCCCAGCTTCACTTCCCTGAACATACACAGCAACAGATTACTCAAAATACAAAGAACCTCAGCTGCTATATGAATGACAACCCTGTAACCCTTTAAGCTCGACTGTCTTTCACTGCCTGGAGGCAAGTTTTCAGAAGAGAAACATTTGAGATGCATTTTTCTTTTACAGAGAGAGCTTCGCCGACTGTTGTAATGAAACGCCCTCTACCCGGGTCAGAACTTTAACATTCAGAGATTTTTATTTTTATTTTTTGCATGTCAGTCCAAATGGTCTCGTAGAACCGCAGATTAAGTCAAACCAGGAGCATGAGGAGTCTATGATAAAAAAATAAAAAAAATCTAATGTGCAATGTGCTTCCCTGGTTTGGTTGCATACAAATAAAAACTGCATAAATAAATAAAAAAAATATTAACCACATCATAAAACCAAAACACAATACAATTTAACGAAAAAATGGAGATAACTGATCCTTCTAAGTTTTACAGACAGAGTTTTCTATGTCGATCCGTCTGAGAAGGATGTTGAAATGAGAGTTGGACCTCAAGCAGGGGACACTCTGTGTTTTACTGTCCCTGCTTTGTGATGCAGATATGATTCTGAGAATTTGATTTCATCTACCATTCTTACTTTCTGTCTTCTATTAAATAAGCCTTATAATAGCCTTATAATTTAGAACTAGGACATATACCCTTTTACTTTTTGGATTCTGGTAAACTAGTAACCTCCTCCTAACTCCTAATTAGCTTAAATTATATTCTTTATTTTTTTTTTCATAATTTTATCAGTAAAGAACAGATTGTTTAAAAGTAAAATTGATTTCAATTGATTTCATTAGTTTAAAAAACAGACAAAAAAAACAAACAAAAAAACAAACATTTAATGTGACTTTAACCCACAACCTCATCTGATTGACTCGTTATTGAATTTAAACCAAACTTGAATGGAATTGATTAGTCAACAATTATTACTGAAAATCCATCCGTCGAAAATCTGCAGATGCTTCCAAGAAGTGACTCCTGACTGGACCTGCCAGTTATCAGGTCAAAAAGCAACACTACGGATGAGAGTCAAAGGTGAAAAGCGCCCAGCTGTCTCTCTTCCCTGGCCAGATATTACGCAGTCGCTGAGGAGAATGAAATCACAAATTAACCCACAACGCCTGGAAAGATACAGCAGAGAATTTTTTTTTTTTTTCCTAGACATGTCATCTGAGCAGAAAAGGTTGGATCAGTCCTTCTATTCTTGGATGTTTTATGACTGTAGGTCATAATAAAGTTCGATCTTTACCTCCACAACTGGAAAAAGCTCAGCTCTGCAAAGACTTCCAAACAATAAAAAATTGATATTCTGACCAAACGACAGACCATAGTTTCTCTATTTGTGTTTTTATCTGATTCTATAGTAAGTTTCTATTATACTCTCTAGAATGTAAGCAGAATTCATTTTCGGTTTAACAAATTGTCTTCTAATATGAACCTGGCAACTGCCACCCCTCTAAAGAAATCCAT